GAAGGGAAAAAACAAAAGAACAAACCAAAACAAAATACACGCAAACTCGCATCTCGTAAACACCACCACTCTATCACCACACGTCGGGGTCTGGCTATCCTGTCCTGTTCCATCCTTCCATCCCCTCCATCAACCCTTCCCCTTATCCTCCTAACCCACCCAACTACCACTTACTACCGGAGTTGACCATCCATCCGCGCCCATTGAGCAGCTGCGTCATGTATGTATCCGTATCCTGCAGCGGAACTAACCACCGATCCCTCTCTCTCACGCGCGCCAATGACCCGGCCCGTCCACCCCTGCGGCCTGACGACCAGACGGGACCCTGGGCATCGACCTCCTTGCCTCCTTGCCTACCTAGGTACCTACCTATCCACTCGCGCTCCCCCTAGCACGCCTGCAGACGCTCGATGGTGTCGGCCAGCGCGTCGTAGCCCTTCTGCTTCGCCAGCCCGGCCGCGGTGCCCTGCCGGTAGCTCCGCCTGGCGCGAAGGTCGTCGGCCGACTCATAGATCTCCACCGTCGCCGACTGCCGCGCCCCGCGCTGCAGGAGCAGCCTGGCGCCCTCGGCGTGGCCCCTCAGCGCCGCGTAGTGCAGCGCCGTCGCCCCGTGCCGGTTCTGCCGGTTGACGTCGAGCAGCGCCTCGGAGCCCTTGTCGGCCGCTGCTAGCCGCCGCCGCCGCGCCTGGTGCTTGTTGTGGTTGTGCCCGCCGCCCACCACTGCGCTCACCAGCGCCGCCAGGGATGCCCCCAGGCCCCGCCCGCAGCCGCCGCCGCCGCCGCCCTCCCCGGTCTTGTCCTCGCATCCCTCCTTGGCGTGGCCCGGCGCTGGCTTCCGCAGGCCCAGTAGGAATCGGAGCAGCTCGGGGCTGCCCGTCGCGGCCGCGAGGATGCTGTCGCCTGCTGCCGTGCGCGCGTTTGCAACTTCGGCGAGCGAGCCGCGATGTAGGAGCAGTTTGGTTGTGGATAGGTGGCCTCCCTCGGCGGCGCTGATGAAGAGCGACATCCTGAGCTCGACTGCTTCTCTCGCAAGCCTATCCTCACTCGCGAGGTCTTCTTCCGTCGGTTGACGGCACTGCTTTTGGGGGTTGTGCTCGCCATCACCGCCCTTGGTTTCTATGGTCTCGATGGTGACCTTTAACCCTTTGTCTTGGTCGCCGACACTAGCGTAGCCCGAATCGCTGCCAGACTCGCTGCCTCCACTGTCTGCATCATCGGCAGTAGCGTGTGTCTCTTTGATCTGCCGAGCCCTGTCCAGCCTGTCCAGGACCATGGTAACGATAACATCGGCACCCTTGCGCGCAGCGTGGTGCAAAGAGGTCGACCTGCTGTCGTCGATTTCCCGCATCGGATCCGCGCCTCGCTCAATAAGCAGGCGCGCTAGATCTAGGAGACCCCGGTCTATGGCGTGCCATAGCGCCGTCGGCGTCCGGCGGTCGGCTCTGCTCGGTACCTCGGCAGGTGCCGCACCGGGACCCAAAAGGTCGCGGGCCACGGCTTCGTGGCCTGCACGCACTGCCAGCAGCAGCGGCGTGGCCCCGTACTCGTTGACAGGGTTGACTGCCGTCCCCGCCGCGACCAGCCGGCGCACCACCTCAATGTGGTTGCCAGCCGCTGCCGCGTGAAGGGGCGTTTGCCCGCTCCAGTCGCCACCAATGCCCTCGCTGTCCTGGTTCTCGTCGCTGATCTCTGCCGCACGGAGCAGGTCTGTGTCTTTATGCGAGAGCAATAGGTCGACTATTTGGTTGTTGCCCAGCCGCGAGGCCGCCAGAAGCGGGTAGTCTCCGCTCCTGAACCTGGCCGCGCCTCCTCCGTCTTTGCTGCTGCTGTCGGCGCCGTAGCCGCATCGCAAGTTCACGTCGGCCCCGGCCTCGAGCAGCACCCGAACCATGTCGGTGCATCCCGCCTCGATAGCGCAGACCAAGGGCGTCTTGGCGACAACAGAACCGCTCCGTCCGTCTTTCCACGTCCTTCCCCGCCGCCGCCCGTCAACGGCCGCACCGTGTTTGCAGAGAACCTGTGCCACGGCTACATTGCGCCGCAGCACGGCTAAAAGCAGCGGTGTGGCGCCCCCTGGCAGCTCTGCGTCGGCATCGGCGCCGTTCCGAGCCAACAGCACCGCCGCGCGGGTTTTGCCTGCCGCCACGGCGGCGTGCAGGGGTGTCCGCCCATCGGCATCGCGGCGGTTCAGGTCGGCGTCGTGCGCAGCCAGGACTAGAACCGCCGGCGGCGCTTGCCCACCACTCAGTCCGCTGCTCCCACACTCGTCAGGCCGCACCAAGCCCGCGGCGTAGTGGAGCGCCGTGCGGCCGTGCCGGTCGGCGGCGTCGACTCGCGCGCCCAGCTCGCAGCACAGCAGGAGGAAGTCGTCTGGGAATTCGCACCGCACCGCCCGCACCAGTGCCGTCTCTCCTGACGGGCTGGTCGCTTCGAGGTCGGCGCCTGCCAGCGCCAGAAACACGGCCGCGTCCAGGCATCCGACAGAAAAGGCTCGGTGCAATGGCGTCACCTCGGGGGACATGGCCGCCGTGTTCCTGGCAGATGTGGTAGTAGTGTTGCCCGCCAGTCGCCTCCCCGCCGACCGCTGCTCGTAGTAGTTTCTTCCACCGCCGCTGCCACCACCGCCGCCACCACCACCACCGCTGCGTGTAAGGTTTGGGTCGACTCCGGAGCGGAGCATATTATACACGGCAGTTGGGTCTCGGCGCTCGATTGCCGCGTGTAACTCGGCCGCCATGATCAGGTTGTTGCTGCCCCCGTTGCCGCAGCCGCCGGTGAGTTCCCTGCGGAGAATCTGCATCTCCGGTCTGTTGAGCACACTCGGGATATCGATGCCCGGCCTGCGGCCACCCCGAGGCAGCGACGCCCCCGCCCCCGTGTTTTGAAGGTCGCCCCCTCCGCCTCTGCTTCCCGGCCTGGCGCCCGTCATGGTGCTGGGAGTGGAGTGCCGCCATGAGTTGCTGCTCGCCACCCTCTGAACCTGCCTCCTGCCCCGGTGAGACTGCGAATGGAGCGTCTGCTGCTGCTTGGGCGAGCCGAAGTCGGTCCTGCTCGGCTAGCGCCGGACTTGTCAGCTCTCTCTCTCTCTCT